CATTACCGTTTTCATGTGAAGTCTGTTTTGTTGAACTTCTCCACTGTTCACTGATGGAGACTTGAGTGTAAAACTGTTTGTGGTAATTGCAGTACTAAAGCGATCATAGCAATTGTAGTTCTAGCCATCACAGCGTAACTGCTCATATGAATTGAGGTCCAAAGCCATCTTTATGGTTTTTAGGTGGTACCATCCTCAGTAATCTCAATCATCTCTAGGCTGCACCATGTGGAGCCATCCTCAGCAGCAGCACGTGATTTCCACCTGATGAGATGTCCAAGTAGAAGTAGGGCATCAGGATGGATCAGGCAGGTCCGCTTGTTCATTAGGAATCTACATCTAAAGTATCTCACAAAAGAGTACACCCCTCACATTTGTGGTAATATGTGATGATATCTTTTCATGTGACAACACTGAAGAAATGACACTTTGCTACAATGTAAAATGGTGAGTGTAAAGCTTGTGTAAAAGTGTCAAATTAATTTCCCAAAAAAAAAAAAAAAAAAAAAGACATTAATCTTGGTAATCCTCTTATACCCTAGGCCATCTTTATGTAGAGCAACAATTTTTTTTTCAGATCCTCAGAGAGTTCTTTGCCATGAGGTGCCATGTTGAACTTCCAGTGACCAGTATGAGGGGAGTGTGAGCGAGCGTAAACCAAATTTCACACACCTGCTCCCCATTCACACCTGAGACCTTGTAACACTAACAAGTCAGACATGATGACACCCGTGGAGGGAAAATGGCTAATTGGGCCCAATTTGGACATTTTCACTTAGGGGTGTACTTACTTTTGTTGCCAGCGGTTTAGACATTAATGTCTGTGTGTTGAGTTATTTTGACGGGGACAGTAAATCGTACACTGTTACACAACGCGTACTACTACTGTAGCAACAAAATGTCATTTAACTTCAGTGTTGTCACATGAAAAGATATCATCACATATTTACACACATGTGAGGGGTGTACTTACTTTTGTGAGATACTGTGTATATATATTTCAGTAAAGTTACTTTGTCTATTGGAAAAAGTTCTGTACAAATCAAACTGAAATGAACTGAATGAAATTTTATTCTTCAGGTTGTTTTCTTTAGGATTTCAGTTATCCTTATAAGTTCTGTTATTTATTTAGAACTCTGTAAGTCACTCAGAATGAAAGAATTAAACAGCACCAGAGCGGATCCACAGCCGTGACTGCAGACTTCAGGTTCACTGAAGAACAGAAGCATTCAGAAAATTTCATTCTGGGTGTGAAGTAACACTCCTTCACTCTCTCGTTTGTTCACTTCCTCTCACTCCCAAACCATCACTCACTCACTCACTCACTCACTCACTCCCTCCCTCACTCCCAAACCATCACACTCACTCACTCACTCACTCCCCTAACCATCACTCACTCACTCCCTCCCTCACTCCCAAACCATCACTCACTCACTCACTCACTCATAAAAATCACCATCACTCCATCCTCCTCCTCCTAAACACTCACTCACTCACTCCTCCTCCCCCTAATCACTCATCACTCCTCCACCACTCCCAAACCCTCCCCTCACCCCCTCCCTCCTCAACAACTCACTCCTCACATCACTCAACCTCACTTCCTCACTCCCAAACCATCACTCACTCACTCCTCCTCCCTCCTAACCATCTCACTCCTCCCACTCCCTCCCTCATCCACTAACTCACTCACTCCCCTACTCCTCTGGTCTGCACCTCTCACTCACTAAACCATCCCTTCACCACCCTCACTCATCACTTCTCCAACCATCACTCACTACCACTCCCCTAACTCAACAGACCATAACTCACACTCAACTCAATAATTACTCATCCTCACCCACATCACTCACAAAAAAAAAAAAAAAACCCCAAAAAAAAAAAAAAAACTAATATCCATCACTCATCCACACCTCCTCAACTCATCCTCACTAACATCACCTCCTCCCTCACTCACAACCATGCTCCTCCCCAACCCCCCTCACTCATCACTCATCCATCTTCCCTCACTCAAAATCATCCTCACTCCCATCATCCCTCACTCACCTCCTCATCCATATCACTTCATCTCACTCATCATCCACACCTCACTACAATCATTCTCCCACACTTTTCTCTCTTTAAATATCATCTATCATTATACTATATCTAAATAAAAAACTCCTACACCAACATCCCCCTCCCTAGCCATCACCCACCTCTCCCCTCACTCCCTAACCATCACTCACTCCCTCACTAACCATCACTCACTCACTCCTTTACTCCTTTATTCTCACTCATAAACAGAGCAGATCTCCCACGCCAAGCATCCGATCCAGACGGGATCACAGATCTGAATCAGATTTGGATCTCGGTAGCTCCATGTGATCCAGGGACTCCAGATGAGTAGAAAAGTGTGTGTGTGAGGTTAAAAGGTTAAGAAACAAGTGCGCAAAATGAAAGAACGTCTGAAAATCAGTGCACAAGCGATTAATAAAAACCTTCTGTCACAAAATGTCATGGGTCAGGGGAGCTTGCAGAGCGTCCAGGAATAATACATCTCCTCTTGCATCAAAATCACAATGAATTGTCTGTGATCCAAGCCACCCACATGGTTTTACACACACACACACACACACACACACACACACCATAATTCTAAACCCCCCTACTGGTGCAGCTTGAACTTCAGTAGCTGAGTCAGAAAGATCTGTACTGTGCAAAGCAGCTCAGAGCCAACATACACTCACACACACGCTCACACACACACACACACACGCACACGCACACACACACACACACACACTCACACACAATTTATCTTTTAATGAGCAGTAAGCAGGCACCGTGCTGTGTGGCAGTAGCAGTGAACTGTTGTAATAGCAGAATGGTGCCGTAGCACTTTCCATAATTAAACACATGCTAAAATTCACAAATTACGCGCACACACACACACACACACACACACACACACACACACACACACACACATACATACATACACACACCCTGCTCCTGTCTCACCTGTTTGCACTTTCGAGTGTCTCCACCTTCTTCCATAATTCATTGTTCTCGGAAGTGTAGTTCTCCACCCTGCACACACACACACACACACACACACACACACACACACACACACACAGAGACGTTAAACCCTGATTACACAAATGCCCACTACACACATCCTATTGCATCCTTGAATCACACTACATCTTAACATCTGCTTAACATAGCTGAAATGGATCAGAAATGATGTAAACAGTTTACTTTTGTTTTGAAAATTTTCTTCTACTTCATTTGGAACAGGGAAAAGAGTCAAATGAGAGAGAGAGAGTGTGTATGTGTGTGTTTTAAGTGTGAAACCTGTCTCTCCAGTGTGCTCTTTAAACCATGAGAGCCTAAAAAGCAGCTTAGGATGACTCACACACACACACACACACACACACTGACCGAGACATTTATGGACCACTGCCACTGGCCTTAATATAGGAACAATCACCCAAAAATTACACATATGGAGCAGGAGATGTTAGAAGTGTGTGTGTGTGTGTGTGTGTGTGTGTGTGTGTGTGTGTGTGTGTGTGTGTGTGTGTGTCTGATACTGTGAGGACCTTCCATTGACATAATTATTAGTGTAGGTCATTAATGCTGTGAATATATATAAACCTGACCACACACAGTACCACTCACCCAAAAGGAACTATTGACTTTTTTTTTTTAATTCATTTTATTTTATTTATATTATAATACACACAGACACACACACATATTATATATATATATATATATATATATATGTTTATTTATGGTTTTTTATATTTATATATATATAATGTCACTTTGGTGAGCAGCAAAATGACATCAAGTTCAGATATTCCTATCCTTCGGGGGACATTTGATCCTCGCAAAGATATGCAAGTATGTATGTACGTATGTGTGTGTGTGTGTGTGTGTGTGTGTGTGTGTGTGTGTGTGTGTGTGTGTGTGTGTGTGTGTGTGTGTGTGTGTGTGTGTGTGTGTGTGTGTGTGTGTGTGGAGAGAGAGAGAGAGAGAGAGTGCAATGGAAAGGATGTATGCCAAGATGGAAGTAGAAGAAGGGGAAATAAATGGAGATGGATAGGAGACAGAGAATTATGAGGGGAAGATAAAGACAAAGAGGATGAACTTCAGAATAATGAGAGAAAGAGAGAGAGAGAGAGAGAGAGAGAAAGAGAGAGAGAGAGTGAGTGTGTGTGTGTGTGTGTGTGTGTGCGCGTGTGTGAGAAGCAGAGAGCTCAGCTCATACTTTTTCTCCAGACACTCCACATACTCCTTCTTCTTGCGACGGCTCTCCTGTGCTGAGATCTGGGGGAAACCAGAGAAACGAATGAGTAAGGACAGAAAGAATGACTCTTCCAATCTTCCACTTCAGAACTGATCATAAATATCATGTGGCCATTTAAAGGCTCTCCAGCGAACCTTGTTTTTGATTTTCCTGCGAACTCGTTTGAGGGCTTTCTCCTCGGTCTTGGTCAGCGGGAGTTTGTTAGGGACGGGGTAACCTTCAGCCATCAGCGTCCGCTTCTCCTCTTCCGTGAGCATCAGTGGACCTGACGTGCCCTGTAACTTCTGTACGGCATAAACGCAAGAAAACTGCATAAACAACTGCATTGAGGAGGGGGGAAAAAAGATCAGCAATTTATAAAAAAAATAAATAAATAAAACACTATATGAATGAATTAAAGCATCATTGAATGGGTTATTGATAAAAATGTTGAAAAATAATACATCAGATGAATCTCTTTAATGACAAGCAGCTATTGTAAACTGACTAAGAATATTCCCCTCATAAGAAATGCCAGGCACTATTAATCAGTTCCTCCATGATGAAGAAATGAAGGCAAAATCATGCAAACTCCGTAACGTTTGCAGATTTTAAAAAATTGATGCAGATCTTCCGTAGATTTGGGTGGAGACGCGTCATGTGACATCGTCACAACACGCATTCAGCCACGTGCGTCGAACGTGAGTACGGCTAAAATGGGGCAGTGGTGGCTTGGAGGTTAAAGCTCTGGGTTACTGATCAGAAGGTCGGGGGTTCAAACCCCAGCACAGCCCAGCCGCACTTGTTGGGCCCTTGAGCAAGTCCCTTAACCGTCTCTACTCCAGGGGCACTGTATCATGGCTGACCCTGTGCTCTGAGCCCAACTTGCAAAGAAAATAATTTCGCTGTAATGTGTATGTGATTAATAAAGACTCATTATTATGAAAGACCGTGCAAAAACAATTTCGCCAAGTCAAGAGGTTTTCCTCAAAATAAAAAAAAAGCACAAGAAAAACTCTGCAAGTTTCATGGCACATTTTGAAAATAGGAGCATCAAAATCAAGCATTTTTGGGCACAATGGTCACAAAAAAAACAAACTCCTGTGAAAGCCTGAACAATAGCATGAAATGCTCACATGTGTTTATGCAATCCAAACCCCACCTTCCGCAACCACCCTGGTCTTGCTATCTTACTGGAGAAATACAATGCTATAGTTAAGTATGTTTGAACCTCAGACTGACTACTGCACACTGAAATGAGTGAAAAAAATACGTTTTTAGGAGCTAACAGAGAATACTAATCATTATCCCTTACGACTGAAATCGTTGACATTTTTTCTCCTATTAAATGCCTTTGTCATTGACCCCTCCACCCCTCCGTAATGTGAGCAGCAGATGTCTCACAGAAAGAGTGAAAACACAGCAACAACCAACAAATTAGCACCAGAATCGCTGATCACCTCATAAATATTTCAAAATAAACATATCGAATGCATTTCAGGGTGGAGGTTTGCTTTATCAGCAGCCAAAACCCGTGTAACTGGAGTCATGAAGTGATGCATGCACATCTTACATGTGGAGCAGTGAGCAGTGGAGAGGATGAGATGGCTGTGGAGGAGCGAGCCGGATGGCGGGCGGGGCTGGAGGGTGCGAGCGAATGAGGACTCTGGAGGCGGGCGGGGCTCGAGGGTGCCAGCGAATGAGGACTCTGCATGCGGGCAGGGCTGGATGGAGGCAGCGAATGAGGACTCTGCGACCCGTCGCTGTCGCTTCCGTGACTGCTGGGAGGAGTCGGGGGGAGCTGCAGGTGCTCCTCTGAACAAGAAACATCACTCTGTTACTATTGATAATAATAATTATAATAACATGCCGTGAGGCGGACTTCGTACTAAACAGTTTGACGTCCTGCGCTAATGTATATTCATATATCTGCAGGCCCCGGCTGGCTGAGACAGGTCCATTCTGAGCTCATTATACTGGGATTCAGCTGAATGACTTCAGCTACTGGAAATTCAGACCTCATAGCATGGACCAATACACAGTGCTGATCTTCAGCCATTCCTAGTCTAGTAAATTAGGAGACCTTATTAGGCCTAGGATCAGGAATCTATGAGGTGTTGTTTTTCCACTTTAAACTGTGTGCAAATCCTTCTAGTCACTGTAAATGCTCAATACACATAGAGTATAGGGTACTTAGTGGTTCTCGAGTCCACCTTGTACTCTGTATGATCAATAATCTCCTATTCAGCCACAGAAAGAATGACTCCACATGCCTGATGACAATACCTAGATATAATAGCATGTTTAGGACATATAGTTTGTAGTTTCATATTCAATTAGAACATTTATATCTCTTATATTTATTTAAAAAAATGTCAAAGAAATGATCACCTACAATGTAGCATTTTGGAACTGAAAAACAGCTAGCCTCGATGAGCCGTTCACCATAAGCTGAAAGCTGTGAGATTGGAGGGATTTTAGAGGGATGTACTCCACAAATTTAATCTCTGAGGCCTTCACACACCACAGGAAGAGTTTATTTATAACTCCAAAGCAGGGCAAATGCAGAGGTGTTTATGTGAAATTGAAGGAATAAAGGAAGCAAGGCCATTAGAACTGCAGCTGAAAGTGATTTACACGAGTAGTGTTAACGTGGTTGTGCACTTTGAATGCAAAAAATATGGACTAAGAAATTCAGGGATACAGAAAGCATCAACTATAATACAACAATACAATAAGCTGTTCATATAATACAGTGGACGTTAGCTGATACATACAATGCTGCTTGAAAGTATGTGGGCCCTTTCAAATTTTTTTTTATATCTCTGCATAAGTATGAACTAAAACATCATCAGATTTTCTGAAGACAAGCCAGAAGACTATTGGAAATATGTTTTGTGGATGGATGAGACCAAAATAGAAACCAAAAATTTGGTTTAAATAAGAAGTGTTATGTTTGGAGAAAGGGAAACTCTGCATTCCAGCATAAGACCCTTATCATCTGTGAAACATGGTGGTGGTAGTATCATGGTTTAGAGCTGTTTTACAGAAATATATATATATATCGTATATAAAAAAAAGGGTTCTCACATGTTTACTCTCTGACAGTTTGCGGCTAAAGCTATTGCTATTGGTTTTACTCAAAATTCAAATGACAGTGTTTGTGTGTGTGTGTGTGTGTGTGTGTGTGTGTGTGTGTGTGTGTGTGTGAGGAGAGAGAGAGAGAGAGAGAGAGAGAGAGAGATCACCTGTGGGGACACTGAGGAACTGGTTGACCTCTCTGGGTTCTGCTTTGATAGTAGGTACTGTGTTTGAGTTCTGTTCTAGGGCCACCTGAAACACCCAGACAAAACAAAACAATGTTTTCATGTGCATTTATATTTCTACAGACTCTGTATGACACAGCACAGACCACAGGAGCTTAAATAACCAGTCTTTACAAGCAGGAGCGGAAACCCCATGCTGTTGTAGTTCATCTTCCTCAAGGTTCGATGTGCACTCGGACATGCTTTCCTGCTCACCACAGTTGTAAAGAGTGGTGTATGTATGTATGCGTGGGAGAACTTTGGATTTTGGTTTAGAAAATGATCGGCATTTCCATTTCATGAAAGGAACTGTAGGCAGGACAACCATGGAGCATTTCATTTCCCAGGACAGAGGGTGCTTATTTGTTTGTTTGTTTTTTCCATTTTATTTCTCCAGTTCTCAGTAAGGTCTGCTTTTCCTCTCTCTGCACTCCAGAAGAGAAATACATGATGCATGCGGTATATTTAATGGTATTTGGTGGCATTTGTTTAAAAGGGCTTAGATGACTCAGACAGTAAACACAGCTGAAGACAGAGACACCCTTTACTCCAGCGCAAGCATGCTCATAACACATACCGAGAGAGCACAGGGGGCTTTCTTGCTAAGTCTGAGCTAAATCAGTGACGCTAGATAGAGTGGCTCTGTACTAAAGACCAGAGTGACCCCTAACCCCTTCTCCCAGGCAATTTAGTTATTTATATCATATGTGAAAATTATTGAGTAAATATAAAAAAAAAAAATTAATTAAAAACAGTAAAATGATTTGAACTGTGAACACACCCCTTAAAGCGAAAAAGAATGTTCTTCCTATCCGCCCCGTTTATGTAATGAAAACTTATTATATAGCAATAACACTTTTATTGTGAATTGTAAACCAATGTAAGATGTGCTTTGATTGACACGAGCGCTGCAGCCACACTTCCCAGAGAACTTTTTCCAGAAAACAGATTTCCTTCCACATGTCGAAAATGATAGAATACACATTCTGAATGACTGTAATTACTGGATGTCATGTTATAATGTCATATCATTTAGATCATGTGCTTTACATTCGCTTCATAAACCTGTCTTTTGTTTTCGTCTGCGTCTCTCTTTATCACGCTGTACCTGAGAGCGTCATTTACTATAAGCATGCCCTGCTTTCGAACGACCCACTACTTCGACGGTCTAACGTGCTTTACTGTGCTGTTGAAGAAGCCAAGAACGTCAATGCTCTTGGTCTGTGTTTGTGTATAAATTGGCAGGCGGGGAGCAAACCGCTCCAGAGAGACAGATAGTGAACGTTAAAGAGTGTGTGAGTGGGCGAGGAAAAAAAAACAGCAGACATTTTTTTTTTTAGTATTTGTCTGAGAGGAAAACTTACGGTTTAGGAAATTATAGTCACGTTTCCACCAGAGGAAGCAGGGACCATGTGAGTTCCGGCTCTATAAGGTATTTTTTTATGTTTGCAATACTCAACTTGCCCAAACACACACCATAGGTCAAACACATCTGGCATTTATTATTATTTTTTTTTAAACCTGTACGCGAGCAAGCGAGCAATTTGAGTAAAGCCTGAGCAGAAAAGGTGTTTCTGTTACGCATTATTTCATTTCAATTAATCATTATTCATTTAAAAGAAGGCCTAAAAGACAGAAGTATCGGTATCGGCCGATATCACTCTGAATAATCGGTTATCGGTATCGGTTGAGAAATTTAGTATCGGTGCGTCTCTAATTCCAACACAATGTCTGGTTATATAAAAGATCTACATTGGTATTAAATACAGTCATGTACTATTGATTATGATGGTTACGATGGATATGATGACCACTTGGTTTTTTCAGCAGAAAAAATTGTATGAGCGCCGCGGTAATTAGTCACCCCCAAAAAAGGCTCCTGTAGCAAGGCTCCACTGTTCAGTCACAACGTAGCAACTCATCGTTCTCCATGTTTACCAGTGAAGCTGTGAACATTCAATCGTCTCAGAAAATGGCATCCAGTGTTGCTGAGGTTCGATCGATTGCTTTGTCACTGCATTGCGTAGTGTGGAATTATTCACCAAATTGACATGAATCCCGGATTGAATTCTCGACGTATGCGGAGTTACGGTCTATTAAAAATAACCAGTGATCCTCAGGAATGCTGGTGATATTGTATTGAAACTGTGTTAATAAAGCTCACACTGATGTAGACACGAAGACCGCCTGAGCACAGACAGAGCCAATAAGGCGCTACAACTGCAGCAGCTGCAGTTCAGGCCTAGAGTTCACTGAGGTGAATGCCGAGAGAGAGAGAGAGAGAGAGAGAGAGAGAGAGAGAGAGAAAAACATGCTGCCTGGGCGGAGCTACAGTAGAAGCTGCCAGCTGACTACAAGAACACTTCAGGATATGTGTGTGTGTGTGTTTCATTCTCTTCCAAATGCAGCAGCGGTCCCTCTGGTTCTCAGTGTGTGTGAGGTTTATGAGAGTCATTTTCAGATTTCATCCAGTGCAACTTACTGCAGA